ATCCCAGAAAACTACGGGGAGGGAGGACAGCTCTGCGGAAGTGGGAGCAGGTACCTGTCAAATTCAGGTACCCACTCCCCAAAGGTTTTCAGTCTCTGGTCATCTCCTGTACTGTGTCCGCAGTCTCTGGTCATCTCCTGTACTGTGTCCGCAGTCTCTGGTCATCTCCTGTACTGTGTCCGCAGTCTCTGGTCATCTCCTGTACTGTGTCCGCAGTCTCTGGTCATCTCCTGTACTGTGTCCGCAGTCTCTGGTCATCTCCTGTACTGTGTCCGCAGTCTCTGGTCATCTCCTGTACTGTGTCCGCAGTCTCTGGTCATCTCCTGTACTGTGTCCGCAGTCTCTGGTCATCTCCTTTACTGTGTCCGCAGTCTCTGGTCATCTCCTTTACTGTGTCCGCAGTCTCTGGTCATCTCCTTTACTGTGTCCGCAGTCTCTGGTCATCTCCTGTACTATGTCTGCAGTCTCTGGTCATCTCCTGTACTATGTCCGCAGTCTCTGGTCATCTCCTGTAGTATATACAAAGTCTCTGGTCATCTCCTGTAGTATATACAAAGTCTCTGGTCATCTCCTGTAGTATATACACAATCTCTGGCCATCTCCTGTAGTACATTCACAGTCTCTGGTCATCTCCTGTAGTACATTCACAGTCTCTGGTCATCTCCTGTAGTATATACACAATCTCTGGCCATCTCCTGTAGTACATTCACAGTCTCTGGTCATCTCCTGTAGTACATTCACAGTCTCTGGTCATCTCCTGTAGTATATCCGCAGTCTCTGGTCATCTCCTGTAGTATATCCGCAGTCTCTGGTCATCTCCTGTAGTACATCTGCAGTCTCTGGTTATTTCCTGCACTATCATTCACCACAAAACCAACGCCTCCTGCGCTCAAGGACTCAGATCAGAGGAGAGCCAATCAAATGATTTGATAATGTTCAACCAACAATGATCAAAGGTTGTGCAGCTCTACCACGAAGTTCGGGAAGCTCGATAATGACTGTAGTAAAGAACAAAAGAAAAGAGCGCACAAACTTTGCGCATTACCTCAGTAAATTATTCATGTATTTATTAATAAGTTATACTCACAAGAGTAGCAGTAAAAACAGCATATAGCATCCAAAATCAACACAGGGTTAAACAACACGTGCAAATGCCATCCAGAAGGGAGATAAACTCTTGCTCTACTGACGTGTTTCGAAGGGAGATCCCTTCTTCCTCAGAGCTTCAAAGTCAGCAAAAGGGGACCTAAATGGTTTCCAATAGCAATCAGTTTTCAATGTTCAAAGGAACTGACAGCCTCTCTGTTAAGTGTTTACTATGTGTCTTTATCCATTGGAAGCTTTTGGCAAAACTGATCTAAACACTGAAACACGGACACACTGTGGCTAAAAGCTTCCTATGGATAAAGACACATAGTAAACACTTAACAGAGAGGCTGTCAGTTCCTTTGAACATTGAAAACTGATTGCTATTGGAAACCATTTAGGTCCCCTTTTGCTGACTTTGAAGCTCTGAGGAAGACGGGATCTCCCTTCAAAACGCGTCAGTAGAGCAAGAGTTTATCTCCCTTCTGGATGGGATGTGCACGTATCTCTTGTGAGTATCACTTATTAATAAATACATGAATAATTTACTGAGGTAATGCAAGGTTTGTGCGCTCTTTTCTTTTGTTCTTTACTAGAGTAATTTCCTGTACTATGTCTGCAGTCCATTAGTTCAGAATATTTTTTTTTTTTGTTTTCCCCCTCTAAAATGTAGGTGCGTCTTGTGGAGCGAAAAATACGGTATTACATTTGTGTTCTTGTGTTCACATACACTTTCATTAATTTGTTTTTGAGATCATATACAATTGTATAGCATTTTCTCCTTTCTACATATATTTTGTATAAATACACAAATGGCCAGTAATGCACCTGTCCTTGAATGCAGTAAATCTACGATCAGTGCCAGGGTTGCCATTTTTATAATTTTTATTTAAAAAAAAAGAAGAAAAAAAAGCGGCATACAGAAAAACAAAGAAAGTTCAACTGAACCTTGATAAACAATATTTCAAAAATCTAAAGATACAATTATTCCATAGAGATGCCAATTTGAATGTGACTCAGCGCCTGTAATGTGATCTCAGGTTCTGCGCTGAATTATGAGAGTTGTCAGGAGCCATATGGCCAACTCATGCACTCTCACGGCTTCAACTACCACCTCTATGCCGACGACACACAAATCTATCTCTCAACCCCCCACCTCACCCCCTCGGTCTCCGCCCGAATCACACACCTACGGAGCGACATATCAGACTGGATGTCACTCCACTTCCTTAAACTGAACCTCTCCAAAACCGAGTTTCTTGTCTTCCCCCCAGCCTGGAGACCACCCCCCACTGACTTCTCCGTCACATCCAACAACGCCACTATCAAACCCGCCCCACAAGCCAGAGTACTTGGTGTCATTCTGGACTCCAACCTATCCTTCCAGCCCCAAGTCCAATCTTTAACAAACTCATGCAGACTCCGCCTCCGCAACATCGCCAAAATCCGCACGTTCCTAACCCCAGAAACCACTAAACAGCTCATCCACTCCCTCATCATATCACGACTCGACTACTGCAACTCCCTCCTCACTGGCCTGCCTCGCCGCTGGCTATCCCCGCTTCAGTCCATCCTGAATACGGCTGCCAGACTCATTCACCTTTCCAACCGCTCCATCTCCGCTACCCCCCTCTGCCAATCCCTCCACTGACTTCCAATTGCGCAACGGATCAAATTCAAAATCCTAACACTGACGTACAAAGCCGTCCACCATACTGCCCCGAACTACATCACTGACCTAATATCCAAGTACCGCCCAACACGCACACTCCGCTCCTCACAAGACTTCCTCTCTAGTTCCCTGGTCTCCTCCTCCCATGCCCGCCTCCAGGACTTCTCCAGGGTGTCACCCATCCTCTGGAACTCCCTGCCCCAACCCATCAGATTATCACCTACTCTCCTCTCCTTTAGGCGCACCCTGAAAACCCATCTCTTCAGGGAAGCCTACCCCACCCCCTGCTAACTTGCCGACCTCCTCCACTCATGTTTTGCATTGTATTGGTATTGTTCTGTCACATGTTCTGTCCCCCTCTGTTATGTACAGCGCTGAGCGAACTATTGGCGCTTTATAAATACTGTATAATAATAATAATAATATGCAGGTTCCCATTGACATGGATGTAAAGAAGAACATTTCTTGCTGCACACTGAAAAGGAAAGGCCATTCTTAATATGACCATAAAAATAAACTTGTTAAAGGTAGTGAACTCTTGGAAGTTTACATTTTCAACTGAAATTTCCTATTTTTTATCATAATGACAGGGGTTGTTCCTATTGTTGTCCTTACACACACATTTAAGAACGACTACAAAGATTTAGAAGAAAAGTTTAGACGTGCGGGAGCAGGAATAGTGCTGGCCATTGAGAATTACACCGTCACGGACCACATGAAGACTCCAGGGCGGTGCAATGATATACAGAAAGTGATCGTGGAAGCTTTAAAAGATGTTGGATTCCGCCTGACACAGCCAAGGGATCCAAAGAAAGAACGTATACAGCACAAGAAGGTCCTTCAGAAATGTGCACATAAATTCATACTTACCGAGACAAAAGCAAAACCTAAAAAAGAGGAGTATGAGAGGCTGAAAGCTCTGGCAGATAAAAGATGGTTTAAAAGGTTTCCGTTTGATAACTAAAACACACTTTTATGGTTCTCGTGTATGAAGACCACTGCAGAAAAAAAAAATAGGTGATCAAAATTAGCAAATCAGATCAAATTGGACCTTCCCCAATGCTGACATAAAGCTTTGCTAGTTGTCTTCTAGAAACAGCTAAATACATAATAAAAGTTACTACTAGTTCCCACCAGTGCTTCTTATGTAGAGCTCCCCCCGCAGGGGCTGCTTGTATCTTGCCCAGCCTTTCCCCTAGATCTTCTCCCACAGCCAAGCACACCACATTTCTTATACCAGGTGCACACAACGTTCACTTATTACTCCAATCATCAGTCTGGGGGTTCTAGCTTCTCTGTTGTCTTTATTTCATTTATGGAACTGGGAAAGGGAAGGGATATAATAGGATTCTCCAAATCTAACTATGACAATTGAGGACAGCTTATCTGTGGGCTTTCCTTAGTGAATCTGTGTAGCCGACTGTACAAACATGGAGCAAAGTCCCTCTGTAGATATGCAGACTTAGTGGAGAGTTGCTCTCCTGGGCAGCCAGTGTCCCCTCTACCTTACACCCAGTTGCTGATTATATAGGTCTCGAGGGGGTTAAATAGCACAAGTCCCATCATTCCTGTAACACAGTCTGTACTCATAAGGCCCTTTCTGCAGGTTACCTTCCTCTGTGATACCTGACAGGATCTGTAGACATCCCGCCTCAGTCATCTCTCAGAAGCACCCTGGGTTTCACAGCATTCTGGCCCTCGAATTGCTCACCCGAGGCCTCCTGGCAGCAGGAGCCAGGGGAGACAGCCACCTCCCCTGGCTGGAACTCCCTTCTCAGAAAAGAGGAAGAAGAACTCAGATCCCATGTGCTCACTGAGTATAAATACTAGTACCCAGCATGCTCAGGGGCACGGCTCTCTGTAATTGGCTGGAACTGCACCCATATTCATGCTCCTGATCTGTATGGATCACTCCTGTCCACCCAGAATCTTCCAAGGCCTCCTGGAAACAGAGGAGCCAATCACAGCAGCAGCACTGTGTGATACACAGGATATCCCACGTAACAATTGTAGCTTCATGTTAAGCAGAAAAACTGCTATGTTTTGCCTAACAGTCTTCTGTTAATTGCTTCCCTGCCGCCCTAAAGTATATATACTGCTACAGGGTGGCAGGGGTGAGTAAAATCACTTATACATACGTAATTTTTCATTTCCGGGTAAGGGGTGTGCGCGAGGCGCGCTGGTGCCCTACCTGCTCCACCATTCGCGGTCGTGGCTGTCATTCACCAGGTCCCGGACGGTATTTACTTGATGGTGCCTTGTGATTTCCGGTGATCACCGATGGAGAGGAGGATTGTTTTTGTTTACTAACAGTTCTCCTCCCTGTCAGCTCAGGCACACTGCACAGCACAGCCATCTAGAGCAGTGTGATTACAGTGAAGCACACAGACCCCGCCCCCTAGTAAAACACTCCCTACACACAGTTAACTCTTTGATCGCCCCAGATGTTAACCCCTTGCTGCCCAGTGCCATTACTACAGTGTCAATGCTTTTTTTAGTACTGATCAGTGTATTGGTGTCACTGGGGATGTCAGTGACACCAAGTCAGTTCCCCCCAGTGTCAGAATGTCCCGCTATAAGTCGCTGATCGCCGCCATTACTAGTAAAAAAAAAAAAAAAAAATCCCAGTATCTTTACCATTTGAAAATGCTATAACATTCACATAAACCAATTAATTTACACGTATTGGGATCTTTTTTAGCAAAGACACAGAGAAGAATACATTTTGGTGTAAATTTATGACAATTTTATTTTTGTTAAATTTTTACTGGACATGTTTAATAGTAAAAAGTCAATAAATTTTTTTTTTCTCAAAATTGTTGTTTTTGTTTTATAGTTCCAAAAAACCACACAGGTGATCAAATACCACTGAAAGAAAGCTCTATTTGTAGGGAAAAAAAGGACGTAAATTTCATTTGGGTGCAGCGTTGTATGAGTAATGCTGCGCAAAAAATTGTCAGTTAACGTATTGCTGAGCCGAGACTCAAAAAATGGCCTGGTCAGGAGGGGGGGAGATCCTCTGGCTGCTGGGGGAGGGGTTAAGCAGGAAACCACGCTATGCTAAACTAGACTATGTAAATCCTAGAAACCTACACTTCCATAGAAAAAAGCCTAGGTATTCCATCATATGACCACTGATTTCACAAACACATCCCCATCCTCCTCTGAATAATTGCTACAAAAAAAAAAACCATCTAATCTAAATATCCCTTTTACTCACCTAAATCCATGGTCATGTGATGTACTGAGCACTGAGTCTGTTGTCATCAAGATTGAAAAATAGTGGGCGGGTCCTCATTCAGGTGGTCTCTCACTGGGTGATGATGATGCTTCCAATTGGCTGTCCAGCAAGGGGGGCTCAAGAGACTGTGAGCCAGGCTGCGGCCGGCATGGATGAAAATGCTGGATTGTTGGCAAAGCCCAGCGGTGGGTGGAAGACTCAAGCAAGTGAACTAATTTGAAAGCCTTAAGAAAAAAAAAAAAATGTAATGGGGGGAGGGTACTGAGGTGGATTGGGTAATGGTCAGAGGGAAGGTCTTTAAGGGGTTTCCAGTTGAAGTAATCTTCAGTAATGCTGCCATAACGCTTCCATTTCTTCCCTAAAAATATGGGAGCCTTTCCTCATCTCCCCTAAACATACAGTACATGGTGCTACTACAATATCTTACTGTGGGATCTTGTTAGGTTGATCCACCTTTTTATCAGCCATGAGCCAAACTCACTTCCTGTGATATGTGAAAGGTTGTAGAATCTCTGTAATTATAAATAACTGTTCATTAAATGACCTCTCATCCTGACCGCTGCCTACAGCTATTTCCTTTTGTTAAAAACGTATAATATAAAGCATTGGATCCCATAATATAGGGCGGGTATCCAAATCTCCAGGTATGCTGTCTGCTGTTAGGGGTATAGACAGGGGCGGACTGACCTTTTGGAAACTCTGGCACTGCCCGAGGGCCCGGGGTCAGTAGGGGGCCCCATGAGATGCCCCTGGGACCTTTTTCATAAACTTTTTTGAGTTTGGGCAAGGACACAGGGGCCCCATGATCCCCTATTGCCCGGGGGCCCCATGAGTTGTCAGTCCGTCCCTGGGTATAGATGAAATTAGTCATTACTTTTATGGGAAGTACACATTTTCCTTTGTCTACCCAAATCCGTGCGTACAATTACAAATAACAATCCGTCACCGTGCACATAATTCTGTGAACATGGGAACTAAAGAAAAAGGCATATTGACACACAGTAAGCTGACTACCAAAATCCACCATGAAAATATTACTAATAATAGTAACAACATTAACAACAAAATAATAAAATTATTATTATTATTCAAAATATAATTTACCACAATATTTGTAACAGCAATATTAATAATAATAACTACAAAAGAAAAATATTATTATTATTATTCACAATGTATTCAACAGCAATATTTTACCAAGAAAAATTAATATTAGTAAAAATAATATCAACAACAAAAACAACAACATAATAAAATTATTATTATTATTCAAAATATAATTTACCACAATATTTGTAACAGCAATATTAATAATAATAACTACAAAAGGAAAAAATATTATTATTATTATTATTCACAATGTATTCAACAGCAATATTTTACCAAGAAAATTAATATTAGTAAAAATAATATCAAAAACAACAACAATAATAATATTAATATAATTAGTAGTAATTATTATTATTATTATTATTATTCAACATTTTTTCCCAAAAATTCTTATTATCCGCTTACAGACCTCCTGCCCGCATTACATACCTGTACGTCACTCCCATCATCTGAGTTCAGGGCACCCCTCCCCGATCGAACAGGATTTTTTTCAGCAAGTTTCAGCCAATTATTCATGGCTGAGACCTGCTGATCAGCTATGTCCAATCACAGCCCAGAGCACTGTGTTGACAAACAACACAAACCTCTGTACAAAGGGAGTGATCTGTGTGTTTCTTCTCCCTGCAAAGGGAAAAGAAGCAAACAGATTTCTAGTAAAAAGCAGCACACGTTACACACATGCAGGGGCGGACTGACCATTTGGAAACTCGGGCACTGCTCGAGGGCCCGGGGTCAGTAGGGGGCCCCATGAGATGCCCCTGATACCTTATTCATAGGCTTTTTTGAGTTTGGGCAAAGGACACAGGGGCCCCATGATCCCCTATAGCCCGGGGGCCCCATGAGTTGTCAGTCTGCCCCTGCACACATGAACACGTGTTAGGCACACACTTAACCTCTTGATCACTCTAAGATGTTAAGCCCCTTCCCAGCCAGTGTGATTAGTACAGTGACAGTATGCAGTATTATCACGGGTAATGTGATGTCAGTGTCAGTTAGTCTCTCTCTCACCCTGTTTCAATTAGTGTTGCTGCACTATCACTGGGGGATTGAATTACTAAAGGCAAATAGGTTGTGCACTGAAAGTGCAGTTGCTCTAGAACCGAGGAACATTCAAGGAAAATAAAAATAAAAACAGCATTTTTTTCTTGCACATGATTGGATGAAAGAAATCAGCAGAGCTTCACCTCATTTCAGAGCTTCCCCTCGGATCTAAAGCAATTTCACTTGCAGTGTGCGGTATATTTGCATTTAGTAAATCAACCCCTGTGAGTTGCTGATCACCGCCATTACTAATATCCTAACAGATCCAGTATATCATAGATTGTAGACGCTATAACTTTCACACAAACCAATTAATATTCACTTACAGATTTTTTATTTACAAAATACATTTTGCCCTACTTTTATGAAGAAACTTTTTTTTATATGTTTTACAGCAGAAAGTAAAAACATATTGTCCTTTTTTTCAAAATTTTTAATGATAAAAAAAAAAAAAAAAAAAAAAAAAGCAGTGATGATCAAATACCACCAAACGAGAGCTCACATTTATATGAAAACATGATGGAAATTTCAAATGCATACAATGTTGCATGACTGTGCAATTATCAGTTAGTAGTAGCAAGTAGTGCAGTGCTGAATAGCAAAAAAATGGCCTGGTCAAGAAGGGGGGTAAAACACCTTCTGGAACTCTAGTGGTTATGCTAGTAAAAAATATGTCTGAGACCATCTTAACCCTCTAAAATCAAAACATTTAAAAAATAAACACAACTGCACTCAGGGTTACCCAGGATTAAAGTAAAATAGATATAAATGAGCAAAATGACAAAAATAAACATATTGAAAGGTCCTCTTATTCTTTATACATTAACTTTCAATAATGATGACAAGATAAAGAGCGAAGGATCACAGATACAGATGTTTCATATGGAGACCTAAAATGTATTCTTTCCACACAAATTGTTTTATCATTTTGCAATGACATACCGTATATACTCGAGTATAAGCCGACCCGAATATAACCGAGGTACCTAACTTTTTACCGCAAAAAAATGGGAAAAATCTATTGACTCGAGTTCTAAACCGAGGGTGTGAAATGATGGCACCTACTAGTCAATGTAAAAATTTTTTTAACATAAAAAAGTGCTCCATTTTGGTATCAGTGGGAGGAATAGTGCCCCATCATTGGTGTCAGTGGGGGGAATAGTGCCCCATCATTGGTGTCAGTGGAGAATAGTGCCCATCATTGGTGTCAGTGGGAAAAACAAGGCACTTTTGAAGAGTACAATTCAGAAAAAGTATATTATAGTAAGAAAGATGCCCCATCATTGGTATCAGAAAAAAGGTAATTGCCCAATCATTGGTATCAGTGGGATAAATAGTTGAATGATACTTCTGTCAACAGTATTGGTGTCAGTCATTTTTCATTGGAGACGTTGTTAATCATGCAATAAAGTCTGCCCCATCCATGATTCAGTAGGAGGAATAAGTGCCCCATCAGTGTATAATGAATGCGTTCCAGTGAGGAATAGTGCCCCATCATTGGTGTCAGTGGGAGAATAGAGCCCCATCATTGGTACAGTCAGTGAGGAACCTCCAGTGTAAGGCCCATCATTGGTGTCAGTGGGTATGATCAATGCCCTCATCATTGGCATCAGTGGGAGGATATGTGCCCCATCATTGACAGGTCAGTGGGAGGAATAGTGCCCCATCATGAGGTAGCCAGTGGGAGGAATCCTGTGCCCCATCATTGGACGGTCAGTGGGAGGAATAGTGCCCCAGTCCTTAAGGCAACATCCCCGAAAATCATAGAGGAGACGAATAGTGCCCCATCATGTGGTCTTATGGGAGGAATAGTACCATCTAGTTAAAACCTTAAGGTGCCAGTGGGAGGAATAGTGATCCCATCATATGTTATCAGTGAGAGGAATAGTGCCCCATCCTCATTCCGTGTCAGTGGGAGGAATAGTGCCCCATCATTGGTATCAAAGGGGGAGGAATAGTGCCCC